TTTTGATTCTGAGACTATAAAGTAAGGAATAGTTTTTTAGTGACAGTTCTTGATTGAAATAGAATGCTACAATGGGTCAAAGAGCCCAGCAGATAGCATATGCACCTAGAAATTTCCTCCCTAGTTTGTATGTAGTCACCAACATTATCTCTTTGGTGTTGTCCCAATACTTGGGAAGATAAGGCAAGAGATTACTAGTTCAAGGCTAGCCTGGGCTATGTAATAAGACTGCCTCAAAAAAAAGTTTGAAGGCCGGTGAGATAGCTCAGCGGAATAAGTGCCTGCTTAGGCAAGGGGACTGGGTTTGATCCCCAGCACCACATGCCGTACCAGCCCTGCCCTTGTGTGCACTAAGCTGGCCACTGAGACTGGGCATGGTGGTGCATGCCTGTAATCCCAGCACTAGGGAGGTGTAGTGAGACCCTGTACTAAATACATTTAAAAAAAAAAAAAAAAAAAGAGTTTGGCTTCAGGAAGAGGGACTTTTACTAAATTACCAAGATTTGCAAAATTTACTTGTACTTGGGCAGGTCTAAGTATGAGCTTACTGCAAAGCTATGACTTCACTTGGAGAAAGCTGAATTATTGGTGCAATTTAATTCTCATTACACCTAGTACAACTTAAAATAGCATGATGAAAGAGAAATATTTTACATTGTATTGGCAAAAATATAACAAGTGTTTGTATTTAATAGGCCCAGATGATCCTTAACAATAGTTAATTCTAAATAGTACTACTTCCTTGGAAATGACATCTTTAAGGGCTTTTATTTTGTGCAGGTTCTCACTATGCAGCTCAGACTCATAGTGATCCTCCTGATTTGTGCCTCCCTAGTGTTGGGATTACAGGCATGTGCCACCACACCCAGACTCCATCAAGGTTCAGTGTACCCAGGGGCAGGGCCAGTGCAGCATATGGTGCCAGGGATCAAACCCTGGCCCCTATGCTTACCTAAGCAAGCACTTAGCCCACTGAGCTATACTGCTGGCCCTAGGAAATAACATTTTTAAAAGAATGTATATATAAAATAAATAAAAGAATGTATATATTGGGGCTGGAGAGATGGCTCAGTGGAATAAGTGCTTCCCTGGGGATTGAACTTATTCAGTGGAATAAGTTCAATCCCCAGTTCCGCAAAACAAAACAAAAAAAGGAATGTATATGTGAAGTATCTGGCTTTTTCTTTATTTTACTTAATTTAGTTTATTAATAATATTCCTGTGGTAAGTTGGCTTACATAGGCTTTTTAACTTCTTGTATGTACACACTAGCTTTGCATTTAATTGCACTGAGAAATGATTAAACTGATGCTCATCCAGAATGTTTGAAAATTATGCTTTTAAATATCTTGTCCAGACAGTCATGGTGGAACATGCTTATAACCCCAAAACTTGGGAGAGCCTGAGGCAGAATTGTTGCAAATTTGAGGCCATCCTGGAATACTGGCAAGACCCTTTGCAAAAATACTCTGCTCAGTTTGCTACTCGTAACACATGCCTACAGTGCCAGTTAATTTGAAGGCTGAAGCAGGAGGCTCAGTTGAGACCAGTAGTTCAAGGCCAGTTTAGATGATATAGCCAGACTATCATAAAGTTAAAAGAAAAAATAAATGTAGATTTTTTAAAAATATCTGGTGTGGTGGCATATATCACTAATCCCAGCACTCTGGGAGGCTAAGGATATAGTGCAGTGAGAAGACCCTGGGTTCAATCCCCAGTACCAAAACCCCTAAAACAGTGAAATATACTTTAAAACAGCGCAGGGGCTAGGGAGATGGCTCACTAGAATAAGCACTTGCCTGGCAAGCACAAGGGCCTGAGTTCAATCCCTGGTTCTGCAAACAAAACAAAAAAAACAGTGCGGTGGTATGTATCTGTAATCCCAGCACTCTGGAGGCTGAGGCAGGAGGATCCTTTCACGTTCAAGAACAGTTTGGGCTACAAAGTGAGCTCAAGGTCAGCCTGACCTGCAGTAAGAGCCTGTCTCAAAAAGACCAAAAAAGCAAAACAAGGTGAGCTCAAGGACAGCCTGAACTGCATAGCAAGATCTTGTCTCAAAAAAGCAAAAACAAAAAAAACCCTAAATAGAATCTGAAGAGCTTTCCTTCCACATCAATCTGTATTAGACTGTTGTATATATTAATAAAGATCCACGGTTCTCAATAATTAACATGAGGTCGAGCTGATACTACTTTGCCACAGAAATATAAACAAAAATCTGTCTAATTCCAGAGGGCAGAAGTATGAAATCAAAGTGTTGGCAGGTAGTTTCTTCTGAGGGCTATGAGGGAAAACTCTGTTTCATGCCTCTCTTCTTGGCTTGTAAGTGGCCATCTTCATATTCATCTGTCACTATCTTCCCTAGTTGGTGCCATTTAAAAATCTTCCATTCCATAAGAACATGAATCATATGGTGTTAAAACATACTGGGGTTCTAGGGGTTAGAACTTCAAAGAACAATTAAACCAGCATGTAAGAAAGTTACTGCTCTCTTCAGAGCAGGAATCATTACAGTAGAAATCATGTACATAATTAAGCTGGTTAACTATTTTAATAATTATACAGTGATAATACATTCTAAGTAATACAGTTCTCTGATGTATACTTACACCATTTACAATGTTTTTTCTTTTTATAAACTTAGAAATTCAAGAGACTCGGCTTTCAGGTTAAAATCAAGGTGTTGCTTTTCTGTTTTTATGTAAAAAGCTTCTTTGTGAGTTAAAAAAAAATGTAGAACTAGATAGGCCTGCTTGTCAGCATATCCATATGGCTCCAGCTTGGGTTTTTCTTTCTAATTTTTCTTTCTTTCTTTCTTTTTTTTTTTTTTTGGGGGCGGAACCAGGGATTGAACTCAGGTCCTTGCACTTGCCAGGGAAGCACTTATTCCACTCAGCCATCTCCCCAGTCCCCTTCCTTTCTAATTTATATGTAGTGGCTTTATTCTTCATAATATTGACAAATTGATAGATAGTATTGTTTGGTGGTAAGATTAAGTTGCATCTATAGCAGGCCAAATGCTGATACAAAATGAAAATATATGTAGGTTTTTCTGTTTTAATATGGCTTCCTCACTGGACACTGCTTTTTACTCACTTCAAAGCCATATACACTTTCAGCTCCTAAAACTATTATACTAGGTAAAATAAGCCTGGACCTGTAATTCAAAAGGACAACTGCTGAAATGACCTTTCATTTCAGGCATGCATTGACAGGTTTTCCATGTTTTTTTGTTTTGTTTTGTTTTTTGAGATAGGATCTTGCTATGTAGTCTAGGCTGGTCTTGAACTTATTTTGTAGCCCAGGCTGTCTTAAAACTTGCATCAGTCCTCCTGCCTCAGCCTTCTGAGTGCTGGGATAACAGGAGTACTAGGATTATAGGTATGTGCCACCATACCCTGCATAACAAAGGGAATTATTTTGTCTTTTTTTTTTTTTGGTTGGCTCAGAATGCCTTCAGGGCAGGTTTAGTTGGCTTGAGTTCTGGGGATCAAACAACAGCAACCTGAGCCTGACTGCTTTGTTGAAGCAGGCACTTAAATAACTGAGCTAAGGGGCAGGCCCCCTATACTTTTCAAGACAATTAAAACACTGAAGCTGGGTGTGATGACACAGACCTATAAATCTGTAATCCCACCACTGGGAAGCTGAGGCAAGAGGACAACTGCAAGTTCAAGACCAGTCTAGCCCACAAAATGAGCTCAAGGCCAGCATGGACTGAGTATGGAAACCCTGTCTCAAAAAGACCAAGGAAAGAAATATTTAATAAATGCCAATGTAACTCAAAAAGACAGTGTAAATTAACCTAATATGACAAGGATTTTTTGTGGAATTTTCAAGCTTATTTACTACAAATAAGTTTCTAGCTCAATTACTACAAATAAGTTTTTTTTTTTTTTTTTTTTAGAGCAGAATATACTTATTGGGAGAAAGCTCCTGTCCCAGAGGACAGAAGGGGGGCCCAAGCGGGTTGTCCCTCATTTGTTGTTTTGTGACAAAGTCTCACCATGTAGTTTAGGTTGACCTTAAACTCATGATATAGCCCATGCTGTCTGAAACTCAGTGATCCTCCCGTCTCAGCCTTCCAAGTACTAAGATTACAAGTGTGTACCACCATGCCCAGCTAGAAATGATTTCAGAAATACAAAATCTATTAAGAATAAATAATCACTATAGGCAAGATGGGGGGGAATATGAACAGAAAAAGATGTTATCAACTTGTAGGCAGGGAGGTGGGGGTACATCCCAAAGCAGCAGAGTGCTTGCTCACCATACTCAAAACCTCGGCTTGATCCCCAGCATCCTAACATCCCCTTCTCACATACACATAGACATATTATCAACAAAGTAATTTTATATTTATTCTACTTGACCAGGTCTCTTAGGTCCTTTCTCTGGATAAATATCTTGAAGTATTAAAGTAATCACAAATGAAAAAAAAGCCACTAAAGTGACTATTATCCTTAGGGCTTTAAACCAGTTGGGATAATGTGGCAAGATAAAAACTTCAACATGTAATGCTATCCCCAAACCTATTATTACTGTGATTATGGCTTCACTGAGTCCTTCAGAAATGAGAAATGCAAACCATGAAAACACAATCGGAACTATACTGTTAGCTAAATTAAGGTAGTCTGGCTTGGCTGGACTACCTTCTGTCAGAGCAAATCCCCACCTGACCCCTCCCAAAAATGACAGGAAACTGGCTCCATAAGCCATCTGAGCAAAAGCCAATACGGGGATATAAGACTTTGTCATGACCATGATTAATGGTGGAGCAATGAAAGGGATTAGTCCTGCCAGAGTTATATACAATGCTGGCCTTGGGCTTTCAGGCAGGTAAGTGATGGTCACTGGTGGCCTGGCTGGAAGTACTTCTTGCTTCTGCTTCTTCTTCAAGGTGCATAGGGATGTATGATAGCATTGTGCCTTACTCATGCACACTGGAAATGATGGAAAACACCAAGGCCTTGGACATAAAGGGGAAAGGTTCTGCTGGAGACATGTCTTGAGGGCAAGTGTATCTGTTCTCCTGCAGGCTCCTAGTCTCACTGTGAAAGCACACTTCAGCACCTATAAGGAAACAGAACCAGAAGACAAAAACAAAATCTCATCTGATTTTTTCATTTAATTTTAATCTCAAACAATTTTAAAAAGAAAAAAAAAGCAAGCTAACAAAAACTTTTCTATTAGCGCATCAAATTTTACAGACAAGATGTACTGACTAGAGTAATGTTATTCATGGTATTAAAAAGCTACATAGTGTGCCCCAAAAATATACAATTGCTATAGGTTAAGTAAAATTTAAAAATATATGAAAAATATTGTTAGAACAAAAATTGCTATATGCGAAAAGAAAATAGTGGATAGAAATCAGTAATATATTTTGACCTACCAGTGACTTTATCCCAATAAGAGAGATACTAAAGAGGAATGTGGACAGGATATCATGCCTGCATCTTATACAATGAATAACCACTAAGACAACAATATGCAATGTAAGACCCAACAGTATTATGGGCTACTGGACTCTTTTAGAATATTTTGTTAACACACCTATAATATTTAAATAACGGAACTTAACAAAAAAAGGCTATACAGATGAATGTGCATTTTGTATCTGTGTATTCAAAGTGGTTAGGATAGATATATAGTTACATTCTGTTAATGAATAGAATGATTTGTTCTAATGGTGTTTGTAAATAGGGTATCAAGTCTGCATCTTGAACAGCAATTAACCACTAAGAAGAATGTATGCAGTGTGTTAATTACTGAAACTGTCCTACCAATTTGATTTGAAACTGTCTCATTGCTATTTATCAATAAAATTATGGCCAAAAAAAATCCACAAAAATAATAATATGCAATGTATTAATTATTGAAACTGTTCTACTAATTGGTTTTAAAACTGTCTCATTGCTATTTGTTTCTCAATGAAATTATTTAAAAAAAAAAAAAGAGGAGCAAGTAAATACCACATCTTTAGAATTTGGCCTTCTGGACTGCTTCTTCTACTTTGTAAATTACAAAACCTGCAGCTTGGACTACCGTGGGAAAGGTTACCTTATGTATAGAAAAGACAATCTTACCTTCCACTCCAACTTTATAAACACTGCATACTTTTCATAGCTCCATGCCTTTGTTGTGCATCCTCTGCCTAGAATTTTAGCTCCTTCTACTTTTCTTTTCGATATTGGGAATTGAACTCACAACCTCACACTTGCCAGGTAGGTGCTGCACTGCTGAGCTAATCTCCAGCCTCCTTCTATTTTTCTATGTAAGAAATTTACTTTGCTGGACGTGGTGCACTCCTACAATCCCAGCACTCCTGAAGCTGAGGCAGGAAGATCATTTGAGTTCAAGGCCAGTTTGAACTACATAGCAAAACCCTCCCTCAAAAAAGACAGAAATTTACCTTATTTTTCAAAATTCAAAGCATGGCTGGGGAGATGGCTCAGTAGAATAAGCGCTGCCCTGGCAAGCAAAAGGGCCTGAGTTCAATCCCCAGTTCCGAAAAAAAAAAAAAAAATCAAAGTGCTTGCCTGGCAAGCTCTGGGTCCTGAGTTCAATCCTTAGTACCGAAAAAAAAAAGTTGATCAAAATTCAGCTGGAAGCTTTTCTGAACCCCTCTCCAGTCTAATTTATTTATTATTTTAAATAAATAATTTAAATTGTTGCAAGGTCTCACTACACAGCTGGGACTCATGAACCACAGTCCCTGTGCTTGCCTAAGCTTGCCTAAGCAGGGGCTTTAGTCCACTGAGCTATCTCACGGGCCCCTCTACAGTCCAATTGAAAGTTCCTTAGTAAGTATTCTATTCAAGTATCTATCATAACTTTTTTTTTGTTGTTTTTATTTTTTTGCAGAACCGGGGATTGGACTCAGGCCCTTGCACTTGGAAGGCAAGCACTTATGCTACTGAGCCACCTCCCTGGCCCTGTTTTTTTGAGACAGTGTCTCACTATGTAATTCAGTGTATCTTTGAACTCATGGCAATCCTGCCTCAGCTTCCTGAGTGTTAGAACTACAAGTGTGCCACTACATCCACCATTGGTTTTTCTTTCTTTCTTTCTTTCTTTCTTTCTTTCTTTCTTTCTTTCTTTCTTTCTTTGTGTGTGTGGCCAGCTCAGCCCACCAGGAGGCAGGGCTGGCTGGCATGTGGTGCTGGGGGATTGAACCGCAGTCCCTCTGCTTTGTTAAGCTTGTTCTAAGTAGATGCTTTAGACCACTGAGCCATCTCACCAGCCCAGGTTTTTCTTAAAGTTGTATTAAATTGTGTGTTTAAGTTGTCTTTGTCTTAGAACACTCAAGAATTAGGGCCTAGTTTTTTTTTTGTTTGTTAATTTTTGCTTTGAGGAAAAATCTCAGTTCCTTTTATGATACATAGCTAAAGATCTCATTTTGTGCTTTAGTGAGCAAATGTTGAACTTGAAGCAAAACAATAACTAAAAATGTTATATGAAATTTAAAAATGTAATTCTTCATGTACATGTAGAATGACCCCATTTTGAGGTCTTTCCCCCTTTTGTTTCCACTTGGAATGCTCCTTCTTCAGCTACTTGTATGGCCCATTCCTTCATTTTTGACCTCTAACGAGGTGCAATCCCTCATCTACTTTTAATATTCCCAGTTCTCCTCCCTGATTTATAGTTCTTCATAACACCGACTTACTAAATACTTTATTTACTTTTATTCTACCTCTCCATATGTACTCTGGAATACATGATAATAAAAATTTTTGTCTCTTTTACTATTGCTGCAACCAGACCTGTTCTTGACAAACAGTGCTTAGTGCTTGCTGAATAAACTAACCTTTGAAGATGCTTGAGAAAATCTCTGAATGAAGTGAAGCATAGTGGCCTCTACTGAAAGCCTTCTTCAGGAATATGCCCACCAGTTCTAATTAACATATTGTTATAGCTTAGTAGAGGGACTGAATCAGCGGCATGTTGCTGTGAATAAAAGAAAACATTTCATACATTAATGTTTGGGGGGCTGAGGGAGGGGGAGTACCAGAAATCAAACTCAGGACCTCGTGCTTGCCAGGCAGGTGCTATGCCACTGAACATCCCCAGCTCACACATTTTAGTTTTTGGGGTTTTTTTTTTTTTTTTTTTTTTTTTTTTTTTTCAGAACCAGGGATTGAACTCAGGCCCCTGGCAAGCACTTATTCAACTGAGCCATCTTCCCGGCCCACATACATTAATTTTTAAAAGTAGTTTAATCATGAGAATTTCTTCCATATAACAGAATTCTCTTTGGAAATAATCATAAATGCTTTCAAAGAATTAGCAATACATTAACAAAACAGATCTTTTTCTTCCCTGAGCTATTCTTTTATCTTTGCTTGTCATATGCAACAAAGAATACATAGCCAGGTGTGGTAATGGCAGCTACTCTAGAGGCTGAGGCACGAGAAGCAAAAGTTCAAGGCCAGCCTGAGCAACTTGGAAAGACCCTGTCTCCAAATAAAATTTTAAAAAAGGTTGGGAATGTGGTTTAGTGCTCCCTGGGTTCAATTCCAATACCACCCTAAATAAATAAGTGAACTCAAGAATTTCACACCTCTGTTCCCTTTAGTTATCTAATCCCCTTAAACACCAAAGAATTTTGGTGGTTAAGAGTACATAGCTCAATAAGCACTTGCCTGGCAAGTGCAAGGTCCTGAGTTCAATCCCCAGTACTGCCAAAAAAAAAAAAAA